TTGGATCGACAAGGCCCGATCCATAGCCAATCCCTACTACGCGGGGTAACGCGATTTAGTGGAGTCGAACTCCGGTGGGGAAGGCGGAGTCAAGTGGACTTAACCACTTGACTAAAGGCACATCCCCAACTGTCAAGTATATATCATCAGTACATTTTGTTTTTATCTAAATAAGACATTAATACTTCCTTTTAACACCCATTTCTATAAATGTGAAATTTTAACGAATATTATGTATTGTAGCCATTAGTTCTCAATCCGCCCACTCGTTTGATTCTTTGCCTTGGCGGCTAAGTATGCAATCAAACATGAGGGATCATGAGGCAAGATATGTTATCTGCCGAACATAAATACCTCTATAAGAGATTCTTGTAATCAGCCTGGTTAGTCAGGTATTCAGGGGAACGAGATTTGGATTCGGATGGCACGGGGATGCGGGTTCGTGAGATAATTGCGTCCCACAGCAGATTCCAAGATGCTTAGTCCTTCTTTCTCGTTGGAATTAGACTCTTTATATTGTCGTATGAGTTGGATGCCATATCTCTTACTCTTGATTATATATGTCCGCCAATCAATTCGATCGACCTACCAACCCCTTTCTTAGCTTTGTTTGGCTGAGATCTTTATATACTATTTATTGGGCATGGTTTTGAGTCGGGTCAACCCGTATGCTTAACCCGTCTATGTTCATCAAGAAGTGGCAGAACCACTTCTCTAACACCGATGGTTTATTGGTAATGACATGCTTCCTCCATTTTGGAGTGCTTAGAAACTACTTGAATGTTATAAGATCAGTTGTCAGGGGGAGTTTGTAGGAGTTATCTTTCAGATGACTCATGGAGCATGCAAGGAACAGTTGGAGAAGCCTTTCTCTGAGAGTCTGAAGATTTTATTTTTACGTCGTGTTTAAATTCACCTGACAAAAACTACTTGTAATGCAGTTTGGTTCAACACAGTTTTGGTATGGTTTGAATTAACTTAAAAATTACTTAACTGTGTTAAAATAATTATCTATATAATATTATAATGAGTTAATATGATTATATATATATATATATAGATTTTTTCATAGATCTGAATAATTTAAAATATTAGCTCAAATAAAATTAATGTTTAATGAATTTCGGTTTCTTCCGTTCGATTACAAAGTAAAAAATGTTTTGTTCAGTTTCGAATCCAGTTTTTGATTCCAGTTTTATAATAACTAAATCATCTAAACATATTATAACTTAATTAGAATCACTTTTTTTTTTTGATAAAGTGTAAATCATCTAGGAATGAAATGCTTAGGCGAGACAATTGCATAAGGCCATCTTTATCTGTAGAAACGGCAGGAGTATCTCAAAATATTATATTTTAATAATTATGATATAATTTATTATTTATTTAAATAATTATTCAGAAAGTAATTGTTTAGCCTATTAAAATATGACATGTGTAAAGAAACGTTTCTCAACCTCTCTCCTCCTTTATCATTATTTTTTGTTTTTTATTTAGTGAGAAACTATTTGAAAAACCCTTAATGGAGATAAGATTTGAGAAATTATGTAGAGTCACAATTTATAGCATAATTAATTGAAGTCACAAATTCATCATAATTTTTAATACGTATAAATGTTATAAATTCGTTATCACAGTTTATCCCCTTATTATTAAAAGGGAAGTACAAATTGAAAAATGGTCTAATTTGGCCTCAATTTCAATTTCAATTTTGGATTTTGTAGAGTATTTGATGAAATTGGAAAGGACTAATTGGTCAAAAAATCTCATTAAGAAGTTTAGGATCCGCGTGTTTAGTATATGGGCGGATATTGGGTCAAATTTTTGGAAAACCGAATTCAAATAACTAATCGGGTTTGATCATCACCAAAATGCAAAAACGAGAACGAATATCTAATCAGTATTTTACCCAATCGAATTTAAAATCGAAAAATATTAAAAAAGACTCGACTTTTCTTTTGTGTATGGCTCAAATCGAATACTAGATGTCGGATCTATCATTTTGTTGTCAAACTCAGTTAAATCAGAGGAAAAAATGGGTGAAACAAGTTAAGACAGCCATAGATTAGGGTTTCAGGTGGGCAGCAGTCGGGTGGAGAAGAAGAAGATGAGGAAATTACCATTTTGCCTCTGACTAATAGAATTGAGAAAAAAGACACAAAACGTTTTTCACAGATTTGAACCCGGGTGTTACACCACAACACATAGAAGAGCAACCAAATGAGCTTCTCGAAATTATTGGAACATACATGCAAACAAAATATATAACGAATATCTTATAGGATATTTAAAGAATATTTGGATCATTAATTTGTTTCCCTAATTGGGTTGCTTAAGAATTTTTAATTGGTTTAACTAATCGAATATAGACTTTAGTGAAATTTAAATTCTATTAATTTTGGGATCCAATTTTTTATTTTAGGAGATTTTGGGAACTAATTTTAAATAATATTCCTCTTAAACAATATGTTCAATACTTATCACCAAAATATAGATTTTTCAAAGATTTCAAAAACTAAATCTAAAAAAGCAATCTAAATAAAACAAACTATATAGTTATTAGTTTTAGATATTTTTTAATCAAAAATATTATGTTGGTAAAAAATATTAAGAGCTCGGAAATCAATTGGTGAAACGGGTTAGAATTAGCATTAATTCGTAATTGTGCATATGTAAAGAAATTATCTATGAAAATCTGGTAAAATCACACACTTTCCGGATATTATTTAAACTAACCATCTTAAATGTTTATTAAGACTTTCCAAATCAAAAGCAATAATAACGTAATTATTATAAACTTTGATTTAATTAAAAATCAGCACGATTAACATTCCTAAAATAAAGTTTCCTATAAACTGAATCCTATAAATTTCCATATCATATAATTCGAAAAATTCCTCTGCAAGCTAAAGAATATAAATTTATTGCAAACAGAATATTCCTTTCTAATATCCCTAAATCGCCACGTCATCTTCACTATATAAGAGCATGTCATTCTACTGAAACGAAATATCATTAAAATAATCTCGATTTCGTTTCATTTGTTTAATTCATTTTTTTGAATAACATTTTCGTTTATAATTTATAAAACTTTATTTTCATACTGTTTCTCACATTTGTTTTTTTAATATTTATGCATGTAGTGTGATGTGCGAAAGATGATAATGTAGGCGCACACATGATTTTGAGGTATTTATTCATATTTTTTTTATCAAGCTTTAATTGAAATATTATTTTTTTATAACTAATCTTTATTTTTTTTTTATAGATCATTCTCATACTAAAAACATATTAGGAGAAGAATACTTCCTTTGACTACAACGCATGATGATACTATGATGTTATTCTTTGTAAGTCAATTTCAAATGATCAAAAATATAATCAATTCTTTGTTGAAAACAGTTTACACATTCCATCATAATTTTATTGGATTGTACATATTCTAAAATTTGCCGTCAAAAAACAACATATTCTAACATATGATTTTTTAATCCATCATTTTTTCATGTATTTTTTTTTTTTTTGCTGATATATATACTCGAAATATATATGTCAACAAATTTACGTAACAATTTTTTTTTAAAATAAGAAATAATATATTTGGAAATAAAATCTTCAAAAAATATCTATAAAACATTATTGGAAAATTTGGTCAATATCTAAAAATGTATTGAGAAAAGATATATTTTTAGATTTTATGAATAATTTCGTTTTGGGTTTGCCATAATTTAAGGAATGATCCGATTAAAAATTTTTGGGTCTAAATTAAAAAAACCGACCCGCAAAAGCGGGTTAGAATTAGTATTTATTCAATAGAAAATGAGTTAAATGGAATTGTTAATGACACATTAAATTTATAATTACAATACTAAATGCACGTAACACGTGTTAAATTAAATTAAATTATCAAAAAAAAAAAAAATTATATAATTGTAATACTAATTTGAAAACTGTAAAAATAAAAAATTTCCCGCGGTGAACCGCGGGTTAGATCCTAGTAGCATAATTAATTGAAGTCACAAATTCATCATAATTTTTAATACGTATAAATGTTATAAATTCGTTATAAAATCGTGAGAAGCTTTCCATTTTCCACAATTACATGGTATCAAATTGAACTGTCAGGTTTTTGCAAAATATTAAAACTCGAAAACTTGCTGAAGAAAATAAGGAGGTCTCTCAACATTTTGTAGACAATTATCTCGAATTTTTTTAGTGTCACCTATGTCATGGTAATTCAGTAATTAATTATTTTCGGATTAGAAGATCAAGATTCGAATCATCCCACTGTAATGTTATTCATAATTTTTCGTTGTAAATGTTTTAAGTGCCAAGTTTATCCAACATTCCACGTATTATAAGGATTAGTCTAGACTTTAGTTTGGTATCTTTGGTTATAGAAAAAAATTGTATTTCATAACTCTTGGCTTACGCAATGCAACTCAATCATCCAATAATTGTTTCTGACGTTTGTTATTTATTATAAATGTAGAGGGGAAGTTTGGACTTCCAAGTCCAAGTTCTAAGAAACTACAAGCAAACCCCACAATTTTTTTAAAAAGTTTCTTTGTATTTAACATATTTGTCATATGTTTTATCAATTTATTAATCGTCAAAGTCAATAAAATTAAACAAAGTATTCTTCAGTAAAGATATTTGAGAAAAAACACTAGTTATGTTAGTACGAGTTGCAAAAAATTTCGACAGCATGTCTTAAGTATGTTTTACCAATCATGTTTTTCAAAAGCAATTATTTTAAACCCTTATTTAGATGCTGCAGTGAAAAAAAAAATAGAATTACATCCTAAAAATTTACAAATTTAGATTTTACAACAGTTAATTTAGAAGTCACAAGGCAATTCATCTCTATTTTTTTATAAACAAAAATAAATCCTCTCTTTCGCCGTTGCCATTTTGTTCCCCTTTATTTTTTTTTCCAAATTTAACAGTGTTCTTATTTTTAAACAAAGAATTGTGAATAAGCTTGTACGAATTAGCAACTAGCATTAAAGAAAGAAGAGTTCTGGTTTTATTAGCTTTTGTTAATAACGAACTGAAAACGAAATCACAACAATCGACAATGACTAATTGACCACAAGAAAAGACAAAAGAAAAACAAATTTCTTCAGACTTGTATTGCACACCAAACCCAGAAGTCTAAGCCAAAACATTCAAAGCGATTGCTCAAGCAAAACAAGATGAAGGCAAGTATATGTATTCAACAAGAAGCAAATATGTTTATGTATGTGTTTATATGGCTTCTTTGATTGACGTTACAGAAATATGATTTTTTTCATATGCAGCAAAAGATCTTGATAAGAGTGACTATGACCGATGACAAAACCCGAGCAAAAGCAATGACAAAAGCAGTTCAGTTTAAAGGTAAGAAGACCTTTCCCCAAAAAGATTACCAACCTCTGTTGGATCTCATGCTTTATGCAATGGTTTTATAGGCGTGTCAGCCGTGGAAATAAAAGGCGATCATAGGAACCAGATAGAGGTTACCGGTGTTGAAGTTGATATGATCCCTCTCATCCAAAAACTCAGAAAGAAGGTAGCATTTGCAGAGCTTGTAAGCGTGACCAAAGTCGAACCTCCAAAGAAAGAAGACGAGAAGAAGGGAGGGGACGGAAAAGGTGCAGGGGGAAAAGGTGGTGACCAAAAAGGTGGCGATAAGAAAGGGCCAGAAGATAAGAAACCGCCAGATGGCAAGAAACCTCCGGAGCCAAAACCGGTGCCTTCCTCCTTTCCCCAGGGATACGGTGTGCCTTTCTCCTTTCCCCAGGGAGACGGTGTGCCTTCCGCCTTTCCCTACCCGTGCCATCCGGCACATCCCTACAATGATATAGGGGAACCCGTTTATAATCATGAACCCAATTGCACAATCATGTGAAACAGGTTTTACAGAGGAAGATTGATAGAGCATCATAATAATGTTTTCTTTGTAAAGAACTAAAGAATCAATGTGTTTACTATATTTAGTCAGCTCTGAGGCCACCAAATCAATTTACTGCTATCTCGACATGCTCTTATAACATGATACTCTTTAATCATTATGCATAGGCACCATATAGCATTTTGGCCAACAATGTGTTTCCTTCATTTCATAAATTGCAAAAAGCATAACTTGGTAAATCCGCAAAGGGTTCTCCTTTCTACAAAAATTTAGTCACTGACCTTAATATTTTTCAGTAGCTGGTATATGCACAAGAAATACATCTTAAAGACCGCGTCCTCACTCCTCAGCCACGCCCAACAGGCTTCCCTGGTAAAAAGATCATCAAGATAAATGAATGAATGAAGGAAGGAAGGAACAAGAAGGTAAACAAATGAGATGAGTAAAATCATACGAGTAGCAGCAGCCGTCTTGGGCTTCACCCTAGGAGTATACTCTACAAGTAAAGTCTTGAGCTTCAAGCTATCGGAGAACGTAGCAGTGGATAATGTTACCCTATAAGCTTTGATGATCGAGGGTCACATGGTTCTAACCCTTCAAAGTCAGTTTTAACAGTCTCACATCAACACCTACAAGCAACATCAAAATCACCATTCTCTTAAAGAATGTCTCAAACTATGAAACTTAACACATAACTAAGCCAGTGGACTGTACGGAATCAAGAAAACAAGGCAAGCGTTCATGATCCTGAGAATGAACTAACTATTGAATCGAATTCGACATTGGAGGGTTACAAACTTTGAGTATCAAGACCTAGAAATCAAAGTACTCCAAAGGGCGAATCGGAGGAATAAGCGATACTGATCCTTAGATTGAACCAACTATTGAATCGAACTAGACATTGGATGGATTACAAATTTCAAAATCAAGACCGAGAAATAAAGTTATTCGGACTTTAGTTTAGTTTAGGTGTGTAATCTATCGAATTTGAATATGATATCTTCAATTGTCATTTTCCAATAATTTTCTGACTCCTCCCGATTAATCAGATTTTCAGAATTTTGAATACTGTGAATTATATTTAATTTAACATTAAAAAATTGCTACGGATTTCCCAAAACGCCCTGCAAAAAAAAACAGACGTTACGTTTCTCAACGGGGTATTAACGTCATTCAAACTAAACAATCAGCTGAAAAAAAAAACTAACGGTTCCCGAGACCCCATCACAAATTAAGAAATAAATAAAAAATAAAAAAATCTTTTTTTTTTTCACTTTCCCACAATCACAAGACAACAACAAAGCAGAGTCCAAACTCTCACTCCAAATTCTCTCAATTTCTCCTCTGATCCTTTGATCGTAGCGAAATTGATTCACAAAAACAACACAGAGAAGAAGAAGACAACAATGGCGTCTATGGCTGCGATTGGAGTTCTAAAGGTACCTCCTGCTTCGAGTTTCGATTCCACCGGCAAAGCCACGGAGGTTGTTCCGACGAGAACTCTTTCTTTCTCCTCCTCTGTAACTTCATCCGACGAGAAGAAGGTTTCACTCAAATCCACCGTCTTCCGTCGTTTTAAATCTGTTGTTCGCGGCCGAGATATGATCGTCTCTCCTAAAGCCGTCTCCGATTCTCAAAACTCACAAACTTGTCTCGATCCTGATGCAAGCAGTGTGAGCATCATCTTCTTCTTACTTGTTATTGTTTCAGCTTCTAGGAATGTACTTGAGATCAAATTGGAACTGTGAATGTGATGCTACTAGTATTGATTTGATTTGTTTCAATGGCAGAGTGTGTTGGGGATAATCTTAGGAGGTGGAGCTGGAACTCGTCTTTATCCTCTTACGAAGAAGAGAGCCAAACCAGCTGTTCCTCTTGGTGCTAACTATAGGCTTATTGATATTCCTGTGAGCAACTGTTTGAATAGCAACATATCCAAAATCTATGTTCTTACTCAGTTCAATTCCGCGTCTTTAAATCGTCATCTTTCACGAGCGTATGCGAGTAACATGGGAGGTTATAAGAATGAAGGTTTTGTTGAAGTTCTTGCTGCTCAACAAAGTCCGGAAAATCCCAACTGGTTCCAGGTAATTCAAATCAATGCAGGATTTCTTTTGTTGGATATATAGTGTTGTTTTACTGTTTTGGTTTGTGTAGGGAACAGCTGATGCAGTGAGGCAATACTTGTGGTTGTTTGAGGAGCATAATGTTTTGGAGTATCTGATTCTTGCTGGGGATCATTTGTATAGAATGGACTATGAGAAGTTTATTCAAGCACATAGGGAGACTGATGCTGATATTACAGTAGCTGCATTACCAATGGACGAGCAACGCGCTACTGCTTTTGGGCTGATGAAGATCGATGAAGAAGGACGTATAGTTGAATTTGCTGAAAAACCAAAGGGGGAGCACTTAAAGGCCATGAAGGTAAATATAAGAAAAGGAAAACTTTAAGCTAGTTCCCTGGTTCATTATTTGGGCTAATAAATAAACATTTGATTTTCTGGCTTCTAGGTTGATACAACAATTCTAGGTCTTGATGATAAGAGAGCCAAGGAGATGCCTTACATTGCTAGTATGGGTATTTATGTTGTAAGCAGAGATGTAATGCTAGAATTACTACGGGACAAGTTTCCTGGAGCTAATGACTTTGGAAGCGAAGTCATTCCCGGTGCCACTTCCCTTGGACTGAGGGTGAGTGTTCATATCTATGTTTACAACATCTAGTTTGTATTCTGATGGTCAAGCAAGTGTCTCTGTTTCTCTATTGTTTGCTTTCAGATTCAACAGCTACTTGTAGCTGATTATGCTATGCAGAAGCAAAACCTGCTAACTTTGATGATGGCACTGCAGGTGCAAGCTTACCTATATGATGGCTACTGGGAAGACATTGGTACTATAGAGGCATTCTATAATGCAAATCTTGGAATCACCAAGAAACCAGTTCCTGATTTTAGGTACAGTAACCGCATTACCAAGTGGAATATGTATCTAAATGATATATTAACTTATCTGAATTCTTGATGCAGTTTCTATGATCGTTCTGCTCCTATCTACACACAGCCACGTTATTTACCACCGTCTAAGATGCTTGATGCTGATGTCACTGACAGTGTCATTGGAGAGGGATGTGTTATCAAGGTATGATCAAATAGCTTCTGTTTGATATGTGTTACGGACATACAAATTCACCAAAGTCTTACTAACTTTCGACACAGAACTGCAAAATTCATCACTCTGTGGTTGGACTCCGTTCCTGCATATCAGAAGGTGCCATTATTGAAGATTCGCTATTAATGGGAGCTGACTATTACGAGGTAAAAATCTGTCTTGCAATCAATCCTCTTGATAAGTAATATAAACCTTTTGATGATGATGGTCTTCTTTGATGATTGTAACTTTGCCTAGACTGCTTCGGAAAAGAGCCTCCTAAGCGCGAAAGGAAGTGTACCCATAGGTATTGGGAAAAACTCGCACATCAAAAGGGCCATCATCGACAAAAACGCACGTATTGGTGACAATGTCAAGGTTAGATTTTATATATGTAACACACATAACTTTGTTCATACATGCTCTGGTCTTATAGTGGGTTTGGTCTCAAACTTGGCACAGATCATAAACAGTGACAATGTGCAAGAGGCAGCGAGAGAGACTGATGGATATTTCATAAAGAGCGGAATTGTTACCGTTATCAAAGACGCCTTAATCCCAACCGGCACTCTCATCTAAAGTACACAAGTAATGCTCCTCTGTTTATTTCTCTTTCTTCCTAATAAACACAAGCAGAAACACACTTTGATGATGTATACTCCCTATCAATAAGCTTTTTTTATGGCTTTTAAGCCCCAATAAATCTACTACTGGTTGTATTGCTGCTTAGAACTATCTGGATCGTAGTTTCAAGCTAATAACTAGTTCGAACCATATAACTTATGTCGAATGATGGACTGAAAGAAAAGTTTTTAGAGCCATTTTATAAACCGAATATAAGACCACCTTTGACAAATTGTGCATTCCCCTCAGCATATGCAATATATGAAAAGAGAGGTTCTAAATTTATCTTTCTTCAAATTCTGGCATAAAACCATTTGTATTAAAATGAATTGAAGAAACTAAGGACTAAGATGCCTTAAAGTAGAAGTGAATTCTTGTAACTGTGGTACTTTTGTCTATACAGGTCAACTACCAATTTTTTTTTCACAAAGTCTGACTTCATCTCCTAAATGAGTCACTACTTGTTGAGTATATTTATATACCAGGGATCAGTGTGTTGTCTTGTTTGTTTTCTGCTTTAATCTTCCGCTGATCACGTTCTTCCATTTGTCCCTGACATCAGCTGGAGTACGTGTGTTTCGTGAAACACCTTCTCTCGCATTTCCAGAATTTTCCTCCATGGGATGTTCTTGTTAGCTACTACTGAAATTTTCTCCACTCCCACCTGAGCCAATGCATATCAACAACCATTCTTATCCAGTTCAAGAAAAAAGACGGTTAGTGTTTATACCTTAAGCATTTCTTCTTCTTCGGACGTTCAAAGCAGCCTCCTTCTCTGATCCTTTTTACGAAACGAATGTTTCTGCAAATCGATGAGGTAACTTTCAACATTTAATGTGAAAATGAGTGAAGCTACTATTCATGTTCCAGCGGTCTTTGGCTTAGCCACTTTGGTTGTTGCGCTGAAGTTTCTCTCCTGGTTCTTCATCTTCCCTGATGGGGTGGTTACTTGAGCCGATGAAGATATCTGCTCATTACATCTTCTCCAACTCCGCCTTAGTTTATTCAGTTGATGAGATTTCACTATCAATATCCCTTAATTCTATCCGTCTTCTTGCTCTTCGTCTACGTCTTCGCTTCTCAGTCTGTTCGGAATGGTGGTGTTCTTTCCCTGAAAATGATTCTTGCATAGACGAAAACGGTGAACCATCTCCCTTTTCCCTGCACCTGTATTGACATTAGTTTGATCTCTATCTGTTTCGTCATCGTCAGCATCTTCAAACTTTTCTTTAGCGAACCTCTCTTTGTTTTCTGATACTTCTAACTTCTCTTTATCCTCTTCTGGTTGATTTGGTTTCCTCAGTTAATGGTATGTTCTCACCTCTTTCTATTCTCACCTTTTTCTATATCAGAATCCTTCTCAACTTGCACTTGTTCCTCTTTTGATGTTAATTTAGTTGTTTTTCTCTAAATTTGGGTCAAACTAGGTAAATTTCAGTAATAAATATGCAATATATATTTCTCTTAAATTTTTAGTATTTATGATTTACTCCAATCTTAACAGATACTTATTTTTAGTAAATAATCCATAAGAATTCACTTTGGTCCGTTATTCGTTTCAGTTTGATTTGAAAACTCCGTATATTCGTTACGCTACGAAGCAATGCAAATTTTAGTATTTACGATTTGCTCCAATTTGTTTGTTTATCTCAATCTTATCTTAGAATAGTGTCTAACTGTCTATGTAACATTGACACCTGAAAAAGCTTAATGAATACCGTTGAGGATTTATACTTTGGCTCTTATTTTTACTATTTCAGATCCTTACCTGCGATGGTTTCCACTGGAGCCATCTCATATCAAATAAGTGAAATGAGTTGTTAAAAAAGGAAGCACATTGTGGTGTATCTAAAACGATACTAGGTCGGGTCAATGGGACAAAAGTAGTATATTAAAAGGATGGCATGATTATGAACGACCATTTAAGACTTGTTGTTGTTGGAACTTTTTATATGTACAATATAACAAACAAATGAATGGAATGGAATGAAAATATTGAGCTAGACATAGAAGTAAGAAGAGTGATTGGCATTGTTGTCTCTAGAGAGAATAGAACGTGCCTCAATCACCGAACGAGGAGCTTCCATATCCTTCTCTTGTAGTGAGTTCCCTTGTAGCCTCTGCATTTCTGATGCGAACGTGTCCTCAATTATCTGCACATTTGTTCACAAACTCAGTTTCAACACCAAACACATTCTCTATTTATGGTTTAATGTTTAAGGTTTTTATTTCTTACCCCAAGAGCATAGTAAGAGCCTTTGTAGCCTACTTCATTCTCTTTTCTTCCTTCAAGAAACTTCAAGACCACTTGTGCCATTCTATCCCAGAATAGGCGGCACGAAGCCACAAATATCTGACTTGTGAAGACATCATGCAGATTTGAGATTGAGTCCGTGATTTGTGAGCATAACATCTTCATACGTTCACGGACTTCGACTTCTCTCTCATTGTCTTTTATCTCTTCTAAGATTCTCTTAAGCCTTGTGTTTTTGTTTGATTGCGTCTGAAACATCCACACACACAGAGAGAGATTGTGTTATAACATGCATAGATTCAATTGCAGCTGGTACGAAGCGTTATATCAGTTCTTACATTGCTAACGAGTTTATCAACTGCGGCCTGCATGTAGTTTCTGTATTTTGTCCTGAGCAAGACCGTGATTACATTCATCTGCTCCCCAAAGAGTAACTTCTTGTCTTCAACAACAGGAAGACACGAAGCCCATTGTCTCAAGATATCCTCAACTCTGGGATGTAGAACATCAAGAATTCTCTTTATTGTGTTGATGAAAGTTCCCAGCTGCATTCAAGAAGAGAGAATGAAATGATGTTTAACACAAATCCTTATAAGTCAGAAAATTTTAAAACTTTAATTTAGCACGATTGATGTGTGGCTCTTACTTGACTTGGAACAGAATAGAGAACCGATGATTGCCGTCTTGTCAGCTTCTGGACATGCATATTTAGCCTCTTTGGAAAGCTATCTTTCAAAGGAATTAGAATGTCATTACATTGCTTCTCCAATGATTTAACAATGGCTCTCTCTACGATTGCAGCAGTCTTCCAAAAGAGTACATGAAAAAAGAGTAAACCTCAGTTAGTTTTAGTAACTAGCCGCTAAGCTGCAAACTAATTACTTATATAACTTTGTAGCTTACATTCTCCAAGATCAATGTGTATTGTGGCCATCGGCTAATCACCACTTCATACTCTATAAGAGAATCTTTTATTCTCTCATATATGTCTTCAGCAAATGGGGATGTTGAGTGATTTGTTATTACACCAGACCATGGAACCTGCCAAAACAAGCCATCCATGCTTATTACAATCAGAAGATAGGCTTTGTGATTATAAGGATCAACCCAAAATGGTCAGGATGGTCACCTTTTCTGCTCTGCATCGGTCAAGTAGTCTAAGTTCCATATCATGTATCCAAACCATTATGTAGTTGTGGAATAACCCCCTAGAGTTTACACCACCCTGTACCGAACTGCGTAAAATAAAATGAAACGTTTAAAGAGAAAGAATGAGTTCCCACAAATGCTCTGATTGATTCCGAAATGATAATGTCAAACCTTATTCCCCATGAATCGAGGTTTCTTTCAAAATCAGAAACTGCTATCAGAAGCTCATTGACATGAGGCAGTGGGCAGGATGGTGGAACTGCTGACAGAAATGCCCTGAGCCGGTTACATAGCTGAGTGCTGTATACGGCAGCAGCTATATTGGCTAGGTCGATTGAGCTTGAACGATAAACAAGGTAATGAAAACATAAGACCAAATCAATATCAAAACTCAGAGATAATCTCAAGATGAAAACCAGATAACAAATGTAAGTTCTTTGTTCAGGTTGAATCATTTTACCTTGGCAGTACATGCTCATTGGTGATCTTTATATCAGCCTCTATCTCATTGCTTATGATTAGACAAAGATTCTTCATTTTCAGGTAGGCTGTAGAAATTGTGACGGAGTCCAAAAGAAAACCTTCAGAGTTGCAGGAAACATACTCATCGGTTTCAACCATGTGCTTCCGACACCTCTTCTTTGCTGCTGTCTGCAATAGGTTTTCCATAACACAAGAATATCGTGAACATCATAGTCTTAATATGTTACAAAATCAAGACAACTTAAAGGTATGAACGGTGTATATTATTTGAAACCAACAGGTAATAGCTCACCTGGAGGTAATTCTTCAAAATTTCTTGTGCTTCTGGAGACAATATATCATGAAGAAGGCTAAAAACCTGAACAGCTGGAGAAAGTGCTGTTGAAGCCGATTCTTGCACGGGACAAGATATGTCTGCCAATCCTGAAGGGCAGTTTTCATCTAAGGACTTGTAGTTCTCAAAAACAGTTGCCATGAGTTTTTCTATCTCTATTTCACAATCCATTAAGATACTTTTCTGCAAGAATAGAACAAGTCTTCAATAACTATTCCTATGGAGCCATGAAGATGACAAAACAAGCAGATTTCAAACTAAATGCGATAAATCGAATCCAAGTCCATGATTTTGGTGAGATGTCAGATTCATCAATTTACAAACAAAAGGGGAATGAATTACCTCTTGTCTGGTTAAACTCTTTTCACTTCGAGCGCTTAGGATGGGGACTAGTAACTCATGCACAAGTTGTAAGCAGGTTTTTGTTGGAGTTGCTACATTCATTACATGTGAGAGATATCTACAAATTTTGGAGCAATATATTTTGAGTAAAACTCCAGAAGAATTATAATAGATACAAGGAAGTCTAACTAAATATATTTATGAGTACCTCAACTTGGTATATGAATCAGAAACTCCATAATAATCTGCGAATTCGCTTAACAGCCATTTCCAAGATCCATTCAGCCTTAAGTTTTGAGGATGAAATTTTTGGGCACGTGTAGCCGCTTCTAGTAGCAAATCATATGCAAGTGTCTCCACAACAGGTGCACTCTGTAACATAAATGCAAAACATTAGTCATCTCACAGAATAAAACAGATAATCTGAGATTTGTTGGAGAAAGAGCAGACCTTAATGTGATAGTCTTCATCTGATGTGGTCGTGCTACCAAGAAAGAGCTGGATCTTGCCAACACATTCTTGTTCACCATGGTATATTGGCCACCATCTAACATTATCATTCTGAACAAATGTTGAGTTCTCATCAGTATATTTAATTAACATGTTATCAGAAGCAAAATGGAAGAGATTTAAATTGGGAAGGACAACTAAAGTCGTATTTACCGGATTTTCAGTTAATGATGTCATAGATATCATTGCTTTTCCTTGAACTGATTTCTTCTTATCTTGAACTTCTATCAAAAGAGCATCACCTTCGGATTCGGGAAAGCTGAAGGAGGAGTTGTTAGTAAAACTCTCTGTACTCGGAAAATTATAAAACTAAATTCTGGAACTTTCCATGAAATCTTCATCTATTCAAACACTTTGGCATAGTAGTAACTTTCAGTTTAAAATTTTCTGAAACAACCACATACAGCCATTATGTTTATCCTAGCTCTAAAACACATTTTCAGTGATTTTTAAGAGAAAAAGAAAGAACATACAAGACATGGTAACTTCCAGTTCCTGATTGCAAACAAACAGAAGATCCTTGTTCAATTTGACCTCCTTCTGCTGTGCTCTTCATTTGAAGGTAGCAGGAGAATTGTTCTGCAGGTAAAATCACAAGAATAAGCCATGTCATCTCACTAGAAACAAATGTTATCTTCCATTTAGTAAAACAAATCAAATTCACAATCAAAAAACATGCAAAATGGTTGAATATATGTTTAGTGTTTCCATGGAACGAAAGCGAACCTTCTGAAACTGCTGAAAGGGTAGCCTGTTTAATAGAACTCATCCCAGTCTTTACAAGTGATGAAACTTGTCGGCAATACTCTGCCCCCATTCCAATTTGCATATTCATTAAACTCCGCAGCGAATCTGTACCTCTAAGTTTGCGTTGTGGTATCAATCGAAGTCTCTTTACTAAAACAATCAAAATTGAAGAATTATAAATATCTGATTCATGTCTGGCAGCTACAAAATCATCAGAAAGACTTATAGTTTACCTTCCACCCGTAACTTTCTGACAACATTATTAGACTTCAAGGATGGCTTTTGCTCCGCTTTCACATTTTTGTTTTCCTCAGTCGATTGTACACCCCGAGGTTGTAAGAGAAACTTATGCAAACTATAACAACACATATACAAAGAACTGCTTCAATAACTCAACATAAGAAAAATGAAGTCATATCTCAGAAACCATAAAGAAACAAATGCCCCTACCCAAATGCACCTCGAAGAAGACGACACTCATCACGTAGAAACTCAGATGCCTCAGTAGAACCCTTTGACCATTCATACAAACATAGTCTTATACAAGCATCATATGCCAAAAGACTTTGCCAAGCATATTGACCACTGTCGTTAGAAACATTTTGTTAGCCATAATAAAGTTCAACTCTTTCATTCTAAACTATGAAACAAAATCAAGTACTTAACCTGATACTATGGCAATCTAATTCCTCCGAGTTCACTTCCCAAATTTTTGCATCTTCCACAGTTTTACTGTCCTTCACACTACACCAAACCATGATTAAACACATAAAAACTAGTCTAAATACAAAAAAGCTCGTTAAATTCGGAAATACCTTTCCCCAAATTCTTCAACTCTATACAAATGTGTACTGCTTTGATTACTACTCTCTACTCCTGCTTCTCTGCAAATCTCATCCTCAATCTTCTCAATTTCCACGCTGATGTTCTCTTCTTGTCCAATTTCCATTATAGGTGGAGCACTTGGTGTTCTTATATCCTCTAAATCCCAATACACCGAACCCTAAAAACCCAAAATTCATTAAGCTCAAAATCACTCAAATCAAAAAACTTCACTGAAACCAAATCGTTACCTTAGAACTCAGAGTATGCGGCCGCCGTTCGCTAACCGGAGTTGAATTCTTCAATGCGAATTTGCGAAGCTCTAATTCACAATCAGTGACTCTTCTATTCATAAACGGAACTTCAATTCTCAGATTCTTATCTTTCAACATTCCTCTGTTCAATTTCGAACTAGACTTATCACCAAACACTTCCTCTTCATCGTAAAGGCTTTTAAACTGGCGATTTTTTTTTTTGTTGTCGTTTATTCACATGGACTTGAACTCTGGAAGAAAAAATAGAGATATATCTTGGGAGAATTATTAAAATAGGCCAAATATTATAGTATAATTATCAAAATAGGCCAAATCTTATTAAATTAAATATGTCATTTTTTCCAAATAAAATGACAAGAAAACTTTGTAAAATTAGCTTTTTTGAATCTGTGATAGATGATAACCAGAACATGTCATTTTTAGTCCGTACTTTTTTCTTACGATTATAAAAATGAGAAAAAAACCCGAAAAAACTGTCATCTATTTTTTTTTTGGCCGTGTAATACATGTGTTTTTAAATTTGGAATAAAAATATCTCATTTAATTTCGACTGCTTTTTAAAACTATCGTTTTTTTAAACTTGTTAATTTCGGACCCGAGACTTAACAGTCGTTACTGGGCATAACAGAATTATTTAACAGCGTTAAATTTTAACTGGGAAAAAACCGAAAAAACCGTCATCTATTTTTTTTTGGCCGTTTAATACATGTGTTTTTAGTTTTAGAATTAAAATATCTCATTTAATTTTGATTGCTTTTTAAAACTATCGTTTTTTAAAACTTGGTAATTTTGAACCCGAGACTTAGCAGTCGTTACTGGGCGTAACGGAATTATTTAACAGCGTTAAATTTTAACCCCACGTGTTTATATAAATATATATTAGGGACGATTGGCGCAGAGACAAAAATGGAGTAGTATATTAGTGAAAAGACAATAGTTTAGAACAAGAGATAAATTACATTATAATTGGGTCTGAAGTTCGAAAAAATTACACAAAAACCAGTCTATGATTTTGTCCTACGCGTGAAAATAACGTAGTTGACATTTTGGGCGAAAGCATTTAATTCTGACATATATTTAATGCAAGTGGGTATTTAATAATAGTGGACAAAAATGAGACTATTATTAACCGTTGTTTTCTCAAATTGGAGAAGTTTTAACATGTTACAAACATACATTACACGTCTTTAACATTTGTACACATGTTAACACATATATAGAGCGTTAAAAATAGTGATAGTGTTAAGTTATTAGATCTATATATACATGTAAATATATATATATATATATATATATATATATAGCTCTATTAACATTTGCATACATGTAACATGTACATAGAGGGTTAAATTTATTTATATGCATAGAAACACGTACATAAAGCATAATTAACATTTGTATACATGTAAACACGTATATAGAGCGTTATTTAGACACCGAAATATCATTGGATTCATATGTTTCGTCGGTTTTTTAAAAGATTTCCGTCTGTTTTCACCGAATTGTCACCGAAATTTTCATCGGATTCCATCGAATTGTCACCGGATCTTCATCAATTTATGTCAAGTCATCACTGCATCTTAGGTGTGAATGTTATTAATCATCCTAGTAACACTGATTAGATTAATTCCATCATCACTAGCGGGTTTCTGCCATTGAACCAACGTCGTCGAACCATCAAATATAATCACAATTTCTTTCATCTATAGCAAATCGGTTACCAATGACGAGAAGTAACATGAAGCGTGATAAATCTTGAATAAATGAAAAATCAATTACGATAAATTTCGAAAACTTAATCGTGTTTAATAATTCAGAAAGATAAGAGAGAAGGAAGAGAACAATAATCTTTTTTTTTTTATCAAAAAATGGAGGACTATTAACATAAATAGACCACCTAAAAGTCAAGAAACTATCAAAAATCATTCGTTTGTCTCATGTAATAGATCGACTATAAAACAAAATGGTGGTGGGGGAGGGGGGCGCGTGAGGTTATATTTGGTAGAAAAGGTGGCTAAAATTTTCATTGTTGTAGATTTTACTAAAAAACTAATTTTTCTCTGAATCCTTGTTTCCCAGCTAATTATCTCTATATATTATCTGTTTGCAAAACTTTATGTGATAGTTAGTGTGGCCTGGTGGTTGCATGTCAAACCTCAGGAGCTGGGTTCGACTCTTCAAGTTCAAGACTTCAACCTCATTTTTTTTTAAAAAAATTTCTTTTTATGTTCTTCGTCTTCTTCGTCGGTGGTGACGACGACTTCTTCCTCTCAGATCTCCGATGATGCAAACTCGTCTCTCTCTCTTTCTCTTCTTCACTTGAATCTCTTTTTGATAATGGGTTTTTGCGTGATTCATCCCATATATGTATAGATCTGATCTGATTGATGTCGATCTAGTTGTTGTTCTTCTTCAATGGTAGATCTAATTGCGGAATCATTAACTCCGCTCTAGATCGATTTGTTGAAATCGCTCTATGATTCATCTTTTGTTTGCAGATAATATATATTTATATAAACACGTGGGGTTAAAATTTAACGCTGTTAAATAATTCCGTTACGCCCAGTAACGACGGTTAAGTCTCGGATTCGAAATTACCAAGTTTTAAAAAACGATAGTTTTAAAAAGCAATCGAAATTAAATGAGGTATTTTAATTCCAAAATTAAAAACACTGGTATTAAACGGCAAAAAAAATAGATGTCGGTTTTTTCGGGTTTTTTCCCGGTTAAAATTTAACTTTGTTAAATAATTCCGTTACGCCCAGTAACGACTGTTAAGTCTCGGGTTCGAAATTACCAAGTTAAAAAAAACGATAGTTTTTAAAAGCAATCGAAATTAAATGAAGTATTTTTATTCCAAATTTAAAAACACAGGTATTAAACGGCAAAAAAAAAATAGATGGCAGTTTTTTTGGATTTTTTTCCTTATAAAAATTACTAGACTCTCACATGTCTAATCTTTGCAGACTCACCTTCCATCATATATGTTTTTTGAATTTTGCTTTATTCTCTGCTTATTATTTTTTATTTTATTTTTTATTTTCTCTGCTTATTTGATTTACTAATGAAAACTTTTTTTATTTTTGTCTATCACTTGTTTTGCTTATAGTCTTATAATATTAGTATAAAGCATATAAGCATTTTTCTCTGACATTATTGTGACTTAAAATAGTTAGGAACCACAATGGAGAAGACATAATATCCTAGGAAACAAGTGAAATTAGTAGTTTGATGCGAAACTGGTTTTGATGTTTGTCTCAAGGTGGTAGAAGCATATCCCACGATTTGCATACGAAAACTCTGTCAAACAAAGTCAATGTAATAACTTTACGAAACTTATTCTATATAACAACTTTACTATGAAACTTTAACAAACAACTATAATTAAGATCCATATAATTATAACTATACGAAAAAAAATTTATTAGAGAACTTTGCAAAATAATTTTACCAAACAACTATACATGAAAATCTATATAATTCGACGGAGCTAAATCTAGGAGACAATTCTAAATAATAACTTTAGCAAACAACTATTCATCAAGATTTATATAATAACTTACGAAACTAAAGTTACCAAACAACTCTGTAGAATATCTTTTTTAAAAAAAACTTTATCAACCAAATATATATTAAAACCTTTATAATAACAGTATGAAAGTAAATCAATCAAACAATTCTGCGTAATAATCTTAACAAAAAGCTTTACCAAACAATTATACATTAAGATCCACAAAATAACTGGACAAAACTAAATCTACGAGACAACTCCGCACAATAACTGATAACTTCACCAAACAACTATCCACTAAAATACAAATATTAACTGTGTGAAACTAATCTGCTAAATAACTTTATCAGAAAACTTTGCCCGAAAACTTTAATAAAATACTACATCTTTACATAACTTCGCAAACGAATTATGCACATAAACATTATGAACTATGCACGTACCTTTTTATTTTCAGAGCTGACAGATCATTTTTCTAAGGAGCTTGATTTGATAATTAATTATAAATAAGAACCTAAGAACATAGTTCATATAGGTTTGAGAAATTAATTTGGAGTTTTATAATTAGAAATTGCTCTAGATTAGTATGTTATGACTTTCAGGTTTTATCAAAATAAAAAAAAAAAAATTTTTTAACAAAACTCTCACATAGGTTAGTTAAACTTAAAACAATGAACGTGGGATAATTTTTTTTTTAATGTTAAATATATCATCAAATAAGCATAAAGTTAATTTTGTCTTTCGTTGGTGTATATCTCTAATTTTAGAAGATACGTCCTATATTTAATAATTTAAGTTTGTTTTTGGATTTTTCTGATAATTTTCCCATATCTTTTTGTTGCCGTAAGAAAACAAAATTGTTGACATATTTTTATTTTTAATAATTTAAGTTATGGTATCTATATTATATTATTATACAAAATTGTAAATTTAAAATAGTTTTTTTTTTTCGGCAAAAACAAACTTTCATTGATTTAAAAAAGTTATTACAAAGACACTAACAGAATTACTAGAACACAATTATTACATACGCAGATGTATGTGTCATACATTAAGAAAAATACAGCAGAAGGGAGATTGACGATGCTTTCCGAAGATTAGTCTTAAAATAGATTAAATGTCTTGTTTTCTTACAAAGTTTAAATTTTTGGTTATCTTAAGAAATTCTATAAACATCTGATTTAAAAATTGGAAATTATGATTTAAAAATTGGTTATCTTAAGAAATTCTATAAACATCTGAACTTGTTAGCATCTTTATTTCAAATCAATTGATAAATTAATATCCATGATAAAAGAAAATGATTGTCAAGAATTTTGTGTATGCCATACTTAAATCATCATAAGAACCAAATGGAAATTAAGAGGCACAAGAAATATTAGGGTCAAATGTGACGATATCTCGTGTATACAATTGAACATAAAAAGCAAACATGTATCTGCACTTTAGAAATTCAAAGTTATACGGATTTACGTATTTTTTTTTTTTAATGAAAAATACGGATTTATGTATAAAGTTCAAAAACAATATAAAAGTTAGTTCAACTTCATACTCGGGGAAAAAGGGATTTTCATACCCGTACTATTGGGACCGTGAATTTTTTTACCTCAACATTTTTGTAGTGTATTTTCCAACCCAAACTGAAATAAAATTTGAATTTCATACCTGTATTTGATAAATCGTGCAAAAAACAAAGTCAATCTAACG